ATTTAGGACTTCCAGCATAAGAATAAACAGAGGTGACAGTGGGCGTCCTTGCCTTGTACCTTTTTCAATTTGAATTGTTTCGTCAGTTCTCCATTCACTTTGATTCTTGCTTCTTGTTTGTAATACATTGCTTTAATTTATCCTATAAACTTTTCTCCAGCTTCCATTAATTGCAACTGTGTCAGCAGGAAATTCCAGTTCATATTGTCAAAGGCCTTCTCTGCATTGAAGAATATTAGGGACATCGTTTTTCAGGGTGAACTTCATAGTATTCCAAAACATTCAATACTATCCTGATGTTGTTTTTGATTTGTCTTTTTGGTAAGAATCCTGATTGGTCCTGATGAATGATCTGCACCAAAACCTTTTTCAGTCTTTTTGCTAATATTGATGCAAACATTTTATAATCTACATTCAATAACTAAATTGGTCTATAATTTTGGATTTCTAATTGATCAGTGCCTTCTTTTTGTATAACTGAAATTATTGCTTCTTTCCATAAAGTGGGTATTTCTTTTTCTGTTTCTATTTCTTCAATGAATTCTTTAAAAGGTAAAACTTCTTCAGAGTTCTTATATACAGCCGCTAATCCATCACTTCCTGGAGATTTATTATTCTTTTTCTGATAGCTTCCACCACTTCACACATCGTTATTGAGGAATTCAAGATCTCTTTATTTTCTTTAGATAATTTCTGAAACTTCTGCAGATATTCTCTTTGCTTTATTATTAATTATCCTGGTACTTTGTGTAGCGCTTGATAGAAATCCTTGACAATTTTTTTATTTCCTTCTGCTCCCATCTAGTCTCTCCTTCCTGGTCTTTGAGGTTTATAATTTGGTTTCTTGTTTGTTCTTTTCTCGGTCTATAGATAAGCCATCTGCCTGATTTGTTTGCTTTTTAAAAAAAAAAAATTATTTCACTTGTTTTATCTTCATTGCCATTTCTGACACCCACCATAGATTTATTTGATATTGTACTGATTTCATATTATCTACTAGTTTTTCAGTTAAGCTGTTTTGTTTTGACTGTTGTTCTAACAGTTTTCTCTAATTCTTTGTACAGTGGTGCCCTGCATAGTGACGTTAATCCGTTCCAGATTAATCGTCGCTATGAGGAAACATCACTAAACGGAACGGAAAAAGCCACTTTGTTTAATGCATTCCTATGGGACCCAAACTCACAGTTCAGCGAAGTTCCTCCATAGCACCGCCATTTTCGTGCCCTCGGTAAGCAAGGGCAGGGCGCAAAAATGGTTGCGGTGGCCATTTTGGAACTACCCATCAGTTGTTCAAAAAACATTGCAATACGATGTTTTACCCATTAAAACATTGCAATGCGATCGCATTAGTGATCTAAAAAAATAGATAGCTATGCGGATTTGTCGTTAAACGGTGCGCTCGTTATTCGAGGCACCACTGTATTTTTCAATTTTGTAAAAGGAATGGACAAGGTTGTTATTGTACTACACTGACATAAGATTATCAGCGGGTATTGTTTCCTTCTGAACATTTTTCAGTATAAAGGTTAGAAATGTTTGGACCAGGTCAAGTCGTAGAAAATTTTCAGCAACAGATGTCAAAGAGCATATAGGTTATTCCTAGCTAGGGAAAGCCCATTGAGTTAATCAGACTTAAGTCAGCAGCAATGTAGACCTTGCCAAACTAGGCTTGAAAACTACTTCATTTACGTTAACTGTTCGGCATGGAAAGATTAACTTTTTGCTGTTGACATTTCAATCTGAAAATGTTTATTTCATTGCATTTATGCTGTTAATTAAAATATTACTTCGGGGGGGGGGAATCAGCAGGTTTTAGTATAAGGCACGCCAGTGGATAAAATTATTTTTTACACTTTCTCTTAGGAACAAAATGCTGGCTATTACTCTGTGACTGCTTCCCACCCCCGACATACATACATTCACATTCCCTGCTTTGAAAGTACAGTTTTTCCCTGTAATTCAAGAGTTACCTGAATTTCCAGCAGTAATAGTTCTTTATTTAGATGCACATTTTTTCATTCTTAGTAATATAAACTGTGTGTATACACCAAGATTACATTTTAACGAAAAACAGAAGGAGTTTCTGAACACCCTCATGAGTGTGGCAAAGATATTCAAGGCTTCTCTCTTAAACTGACTTCCTTAGAGGTGTCTGTCTTGCTCTGTCTTCATTGATGTTTAGACTTAAAGTGAACCCAATGTTATTTCTATGTGCCTGTAACCACTGTCAGATTATTTTCTCATTCTCTTCTTGTTTTATCAGTAGTCTTGTTGTTTCAGTTTTACATTGTATTTATTGTGTATTTTGATGTGAAAGGTGCTCTGAGTATGTTTTAGTAGAAAAATAGCTTAAGAAGCAACTAGCATTCTGATTTCTACCTCCTAAAAGCAGTCACCTGGGGGGAAAAAAAACAGAATGTTGAAGATGTCCACTTTTGCTATTTTATCCACTCATTAAATTAATAGCAAGTCTTTAGAAGCCATGACTTGGATTCTTTTGAGGCCAACCGGGCTTCCATAATGGATGGAGAATGAACAGTTAACTATTGTAAGCTCTTGCTCAAGGAGGTATCCAGTTTGTGCTTGCCCAAGCATGACTCAGATTTCCATAATTAGGAGAGCATTCTGTGTGCCAGAACTGAACGTGCAAGCATAAAATTCCATGTTACTTGGTCTCTAGTGGAGAATTACGATCTGTTGGTGCTCAACAGGATATTAGCCTTTGCTTTCTTATCCCTGAAAATGTTATTATCTTAAGTGTTCTACTCAGTGTTACTTGACTGCAGCTTAATTATTTTATGGATAATGTCATTTACTGCTCTTTCAGTGACTACATTTCCCATACTTGCTATGAACTGTAGTTGAAAGATCTGCAATATGGGAGGAAATGTCAAATGAGTTGTATAAAGTTTTTTTACTATTGAAAAATAAAAATTTAGCTGCTATTTTATATGTTGGATTTGAATACCATTGATCCAGTGTTTCAGAATGGTTTATGAAATAATGTTATTACTATTGAGCAAAAACAAAAATCATTTGCTTGATTGTACAATATTTAGGTAGATTAGTTGTGACCATGCTGTGAAGAGCTGCTATGCCACAGCAATAAACAAATGGTTTTTAGTACTAGTGAGTTCCTTACAGAAGAGAATGGGAAGCTATTAGATCTTCTTTGTATGATTTGAATTCTTATGTTCTCTAATCTAGGGGTGTGCTTCCTGGAAATGGTATTATCCTTTCCATTATGCACCATTTGCTTCAGATTTTGAAGGGATAACTGACATGCCGTCAGACTTTGAAAAGGGAACAAAGCCGGTAAGAATTGTTTATTTTTATAATAATTCATTGGCAAATATCCAGTGTTGTTGATTCACTAACTGAAACAGTTATGTTGGCAGAACCAGGAGGCAGATGCTTTCCTTTCCACACCCACTGTCTCTAATATGCCCTCAAAGTTTGCCTTGAATAGCTAGAACTGATGAGCAGATTTTCAGATAGCCTAGAAACCTCTGGAGGGGCTAAAAAAGAAGCTTGTGGAAGAATAATAGAACAATATTAGATCCTGGTCAATTATTGTAAATTATTGTTGTTTATTTCTACTGGGTGTTTGAACTAGGTTTTGTTGTTGTTGTTTCCTTAATTTCATTTCTAATAGTTCAAACCTCTTGAACAACTTATGGGAGTCTTTCCAGCAGCCAGTGGTAACTTTCTCCCACCAACTTGGCGGAAACTTATGAGTGATCCGGTAAGCAAACTGCTTTGTAGTGCTTTTCCTTCCCCCCCCCCTTTTTTTTAATCTGTGTACAATTTGGACTTCTTTTTTTAAGTATTCTCTTAGCAGCTTTGATGCCTTTCTAAAGAGCAAGAGTATTTTTACCCTGTCCACTGAAGGCAGAGATGTTAAAGCCATGCTCACACTGGTTGAAACTAGGATGCTTATCTCGGTTGGTACCCAGTTTGTTGTTTGTTAGCTGTGGTGAGTTTTGAAGTAAGAACTGGGTGAATAGATTACTCAACCTTGGTCAAGAAGCAGGTACCCAAAATAAGCCTAGCAAAAGGGACTGCCAATAGCAAAATAATTTATTGGGCCACTGGGACTTCTTGAAGTGTTAGAGATTTAGCAGATGCCAGTCTTACTCTGTGAAAATTCAAATTTCAGAAGTGGCTGTTTAAAAGCTGATACCAAAGTACTGTTTATTTCAACTTACTCTTTATAAGTTTGAGGGAAGAAGGTAAGTAACTTCCTACAATACTTCAGTTTCTGAAACATTACAATTTTTTATATAAAACAGGAATCAAGTATAATTGACTTCTACCCTGAAGACTTTGCTATTGATTTGAATGGAAAGAAATATGCTTGGCAAGGTAAAATATTTATGGCATTAGATGAAGATCATAATGATTTGGTAGAACTCCGCTCTCTCTTTAATTGAAATTAATGTGATCACTTTGTCTGAATCTTGCAGAAGGGTCTCCCTGTATCTTTTTATTTTCTCCATAGTACTACTGGATAGAAAATAAGGGGTCTATTCACTTGTTTTCTGTAGGTGTTGCTCTGTTGCCATTTGTTGATGAACGTCGGCTTAGAGCTGCTCTAGAAGAAGTGTATCCTGACCTCACTCCTGAAGAAAGTAAGATCTGTAGGCCTATGTAATGCTTCTTATAAAGGTTGCCCCAAGATACTTGAACCGAGTTATTTTAATTCATGAGGCAGAAAATCTTAAAAGGTACTTCCCTTATCTGACAGGAGAAATACAACAGTAACAAGTGAAACAACAAACCATTTTCTTTCTTTTGCTATACCTAAAATCCCAAGCTGGGACTGCAGCTTAAGCTTCTGTGCCACAAGGCTGGTTAGCAGTGCATCTGCTGAGCCTTATACTGTATTTGAATCCTACTCCAGAGATTGAATGTTTAGACAATGACTCCCAGAATTCTCCAAGAATTCCACCAGGCAAATCCTGGTAGCTTCCTCCCAAAACAGTAGTTTAAAGAGGAGCTTTTCTCATCTTCATTTGGGCCTCCATTGCCATTATAAGAAAGATGGTGCCTGGGAGCAGTATAAGGGTTTGTGGGAGTATCAAGTTAGCATGGGTCAGATAATCTCACTGCCTGTTAGAAGAATACATTTGGCACATCAAGGCTGCATCCTTGTGCAGTCTTAAATGCACAATAAGCTGAGAGAAAAAGTTTTTGTATGTGTTGAAAAGGTAGATTATAAACTGTATGAGGCTGGTTTTGTATTCTTTCTAAACATTTGTATTAATGAAGTGCTATTACTTCACTCCTTTCTTTAGAGAGAAGAAATAGTCTTGGTGGGGATGTTCTCTTTGTTGGGAAACATCATCCAATTCATGACTTCCTTCTTGAACAGTATAAGTCTGGTGAAAAAGAGGTATGTCACACTAATTTTTGTGTGTACTTCATTTGTCCTGGATGTCTCCCTTACTCAGCTGATCAGGATTTTATTATTCCCCAACAGCCAATAGACATGCCCCCTGAATTGTGTCATGGTATTCAAGGAAAACTTTCCCTGAATGAAAATCCAGTTATTCCAGATAAGTAAGTGTCATTTATATTATGTTCAATTTGCTGAGGAAGAATGTGTCCTTATTAGGAATCTTCAGAAAAGAAAAGAAAAACCAATCTAAATGAATTTTCTTCATAGGAAGCAAATCTGTGATGCTGTCCCTAGTATAAATCCAAAGCTGCTCAATTTTTCACCAGTAGACAGGAAACTCCAGAGAGGGTCGTATCCTAGGTGAAGGTAGATTGCACCTGCAGCATCACCACTGTTTTTTTTTTTTAAATTTAGAATACAATGACAACTGGAGACCACTAGTGGAGGAAATTGGATTGGGTGCAGAATGGGGCAATTGAAGTATAGCACACTTAAAGTAGGTGTCTTAGTTTTATAATGGCGTTAAAGGTCAATTTTCAGTCTGCAAAAATGAAAGACAGAAGGAATGGTTAGCTCAAGTTGATAGAAGTGTGGCTTAGCTTAAGATATGTTTAGCTTTTTAATTAGTGCATTTTGATTCAATACGACTTATTTGAATTCTTGTCTAATAGATCGTGTTAATCATTTATGTCTTCTGCTATGTTTACATTGAGTTGGCATAGAACGTACAGTTAGACATCTGTCATTTCTGAGAACATTTCTTTGTGCTGCCCTTCCGGTTCCTTTACTTAAGCTTGGACAGAACCAATTTGACTTCACTTGTTTTAGTTTTGCTCTGTGGGTATTCATGTGTGATCTTGCCATTTGAGTTTTTGATCTTGGGAATGTTTGTGCAGCATTTAGGTCAAGACTTTGGTCATATGGACAAATTCAGTATCCATTTGTATCAAAATATTCTTTGTGGTCTAGTCCTGGCATATTAGGAACCATTTTGGATTTTTTTAATGAAAAGCAATGTAGAAATCTCTTACATTATGAAATATTTTCCACATCTTCTTCAGCAGAGAGATTTTCTTCTGAATATTTGTCAATTTTTCCTTATATCATAGAACAGTGACTTCTCCTGTGCCAATGCTACACGATCTGACACAAAATTCAGCAATAAGGTAAACTAAATTTGGCTGAATACTTTCCAAGCACTTTAGCTGTATGTTCAAGGTCACAATACAGAGCCCCCAGTGGTTGTGACGTTCAACCAGTTCATGGCTTGTTTCTTATTTTGAGACTACCCTGTTTCCCTGAAAATAAGACCTAAGCTGAAAATAAGCCCTAGTATGATTTTTCAGGATGTTCATAATGTAAGCCCCAGTTAAGTGAAACCCCGCCCTCCACCATTGTACATCAACCAGAAGAAGATGACATGGTTGTACAGTATTTGAATAAATGTAGATCATTATCCATGAAAAAAATAGCAAAAAATAATATAAGACCCTGTCTTATTTTCGGGGAAACACGGTACCAAGGAATATAAAATGGTGAGAGAAGGAACAAAACTAGTGAAGGTGAACATTCCTTCATCTACCAAGCTGTTTCTTCTCTGGGCTGGTAGAACACCTGAGCTGCTAATCCTCAGAAGGGCATCTTTTTTAAGAACAATGAATCAAATACACTTCCTTCTGACTATATCCAGATGATGTCTGAAATTGCAGGAGGAGCTGGTACCCTCCAGTCTCCATCAGCACCTTGGCAGTAATGATAATTTCAGCGCCTTAATTGCCTGTGGTAATGTGTTCTCCTCAAGTAGAGACTTTCTTCCTGTTGCTTTTCTTATCACATAAAAACTGCATAATACTTCTAGTGCAGTAATTCCCATATAGTATGTTCAAGTATGTCTGTGAGCCACAATAAATAATGTGAATGGGTCCTGTTAGCCAAACCAGCCCCTTCACAGAGGAGCCTGTTTGCTTCACCACTATATAATTCACTGCTGTGGCCTTATTTCATTCAGGAGGCATGACTGGAGCTGTGACTATGCAGCAACATGGGATTGGTTCCTGAGTGGATGGGTAATTTTTGCTCTTACCCTCTTAAAACATTTCAACTGCAGGAATAAAGTATGCCTCCCGTTACAATTCAGAAGATAGTATGCCTCAGATATCAGAAGTCTGGGAAACTCTGTTCTGTTTCTGAACTGGCTCCAGTATAAAAGTTGGCTCATGGTACTAGTGAAACTGTTAGAGATTCTAGGCCACTTCACAAATGCATGTATATACTTTGATGACTCACCTGCTGGGTGTGCAAAAATTGGATTTATTGGAAATCTGTGTGGTAAAAATAAGATGATATGAAACTGGGATTTAGTATTTCCATACAAGTCAAGCATTTGATAGTACAGTTTAAGTTTGTAAATCTAGCGATGTGAGCCAGCTTACTTATCCAAGATGTTCAGGAGCCTAGCTCTGCATGCTAAGGAAGAGAAATTGAGAGAGCAGAGCTATGATCTAACTAAAACAAGTATATCTGAAAATATACATATCTTTTGGGTGTCACAAGCAATCTTTCTGAGAGTTTCTTCTAGGATGCTGTTGTCATGGTATCTATATGCGCTGTCAAGCCTCCTCTGCATGCAGCTAGATGGAAAGTTGAAGAATATCTTGCATACAATTATATTTCTTTTCAAAGCAGGCCTGCAGAACCAATGACACAGCATAGCAAATGTAGTCCAGTAAATGTCTGGCTTTATTGGGGTATAGTTTTGTGGTTTTGCATTCAGCTCTCGGAGCTGGGAGTCCAAAGACTCAAATTAGCACCCCTCTGCTGCTAAACCTGCCAGAATATATGATGGATGGGACACATCACCTATACATGCCTGACTTCAATTTTGATCCAGATACATAAAGCATGAATAAAATATGGTAGCAGAGGAAGCAAATACTGTAAGCTGTTCACTTTGATGTCACATGGCATATGCTAATATCTCATATTGTTCAAACTATATTTCATTCTCAGTATCAACTTTAAAGATCCACAATACCAAGAAGATTTTGTATTTAAGGCAGTGTTGTTATCTGGGGCAAAGTAAGTATCTTCATGGATTGCATCTAATTGCTAGTTCTTCTAAATATTTCTTTATTGTAGAATCTCTGGAATTTGTTCTGGGGGGTTGATTCTACCATGTGCCAGAGATATGAAGTTGCCTTTTAGGTTTCTTGCAGTTCTGTAACTTTCTCATCTGTTAGTGTAATCTTTTGTCACTTGAACATTCAGAAAGCCTTCACCTGTTCTGAAGCCGGGTGACTGGGAGAAAACTAACAATGATGGCAGACCTTGGAGACCACAACTTGGTTTTAACCGTGATAGGAGACAAGTTCATTTGGACCAGTCATCATTCAGAACATTAGGGTAAGAAAACCTGACTACAGTTACATCTCTCCTTTAGTATCCAGCCACTATGCATTTTTATATATATTTTTATACAAGGAAAAAAAGAAAGCTGTTCTTGTTCCTCAACTGGACTGGATATATTTTAAATATTGAACAAAATAAGATTGCAAAGAACTTTTTTAGTATTTTGAATCCCATTAAGGAAAAGAAACTTCTACATTGATAATTGCCAGGTTGAGTGTTTTTGAAAGGAGATCAGCTATGGGGACTATATATTACCTTCAGTTCCAGAGATAATATGTCTCTGTATGCCTGTGTTGGGGAATACAGGAGGGACAGTGCTGTTATAGCCTATTTGCAGCTTTCCCAATAATATCTGTTTCATAAATTGAGCAAAGAGGATGCTGATCAGAGACTCTGGCCCCCATTAGCATCCAGGCAGACTCATTTTGTACTAGTTGAAGTTCACAGGCCCTGTGTAAAGTGCATTGCAGTAGTAAAGCAAAGTGTGCTGCTTATATACCACCTCATAGTGCTTCAAGCACTGTCTGGGCGGTTTACAAGTTAATTATGCAGGCTACACATTACCCCACCCCCAGCAAGCTGAGTACTCATTTTACCAACCTCAGAAGGATAGAAGGCTGAGTCAACCTTGAGCCAGCTACCTGGGATTGAATCCCAGGTCGCGAACACAGTTTTGGTGCAGTACAGCGGTTTAACCATTGTTTGAAAATTACTAGTAGATCATGGGTAATTGAGAGCAGCTTCTGTCAACACAGTAGGGCTACAACTAGCATATAAACTGAAGTTGAGTGAAATTTTGTTAGGCTATTGTCACTACCTGTTTGTACTGTTTGTCACTACCTGTTTGACCATGATGCGTGCAAGAGCATCCCCAAGTAAATTACCTAAGGCCTTCTTAGCCTTAGTTAGCACTTTATTTTTCCAGATGTGGAGACCAGAAAACTTAGAGAGAACTAGTTCAGACCTTCATGAGCCCAGTTATTTCCTATGCTAGATACAACATCATGCACGCCTTCTACGCTGGTGCCCGTAAATAAAACCTAATATGCAGCCTCAGCCATCTCTGTGTACAAATGTATGTGCATTCATCTAATTTGCATTTTCATTCTGCTCCTTGTTAGTAAAGAAAGAATTGGACAGATAAAATAGGACAGGCACATTTTTATGTGCAAATGCCCTATTTACACATTTTTTTTGGCCACAGTGATAGACATATGTGATGTCTGCTTCATATCTCATTGCATGTAGTAGACTCCCATGCTCTTTAATATCTGGCCAGGCCTAGAGTTGTCGGAAATTTGCCACTGTTCTAACCTGAAGGGCAACGTTTGTTCTTTCACCATGTATGGAATTGAGCTTTCCATAGCTAACAAGGATATCCCCCCTTCTTCCCTCATATTTAGCCATGTAATGCCAAGGGACAGAGGACAGTCAGGAAGTGGAGTTTACAGCAATATTGGTCCTCCTGGTGCTTACAGTCAGGGGAACATGTACAGACCACTACTGAGCAGACCACAACAACAGATTCCAAAATTGTTATCAAGTAAGTTTTCTTCTTCTTTTTAATTACATCATTTGGCCATAAAAATAATAATAATGAGAGTTTTGTTTGCCTTTATTGTCTGTTACTTATCTTGAAATAAATATTTCAGTCCAACCTTATAGTTGTATAAGTAAGCAATCTTGAATCTACAGTGGTGCCTTGACTTACAAACTTAATCCATATCGGAATGGCGTTCATAAGTCAAAACGTCCGTAAGTCAAAGCCCAATTTCCCATTGAAATGCATGGGAATGTGACTAATCCATTCCAGCATTGCAAAAGAATACCAAAATAAAAATAAACAGAGCAAGTCCCATGCTGGGACTGCCAAAACAAAAAACAAAAACACCAAAACAAAACAACACCGACCCTCAATCCCCCAAACCAACAAAACAAAAACTTTTTTTTAAAAGGAGCACCTTGCCGTTATGAAGCCTCCTAAGCCTCCCGGGCTTCCACCGCTGCTGCGACTGCCACAGCCGGGAGGCTTGAGCCTGGTTGGGGTGCTTCGGCTGCTCACCTCCTGCTTGCTCCTTGCCAACCTCCGCGGACCAATGCCGCCGCTGGTGCCCAATGCTGACTCCAGCTCCGGGACCAGCACCAGTAGCTGCTCACCGGGACAGCCGCGTCAGTCCTCGGTGCTCTCGCCACCCTCCGCGGGCCGATGGCAGGAAATTCAAATGGCAGAGGGTGGCAAGGAACGCTGAGGCCCTGGCGAGCAGCCAGTGGTGCTGGTTCCAGAGCTGGAGCCGGCATCGGGCACCAGTGGTGGCATCGGTCCACTTATCTTGAAATAAATATTTCAGTTCATCCTTATAGTTGGGTAAGTTGGCAATCTTGAATCTACAGTGGAGGGCAGTGAGGAGCGAGTGGAAGGCCAGCCAGGAGGCTTCCCGGGCTCTGCTGCCAGGAGGCTTCCCAGACTCCGCCGTCGCCGCCAGGAGGCTTCCCGGGCTCCGCTGCCGATGTAGAGCCTGGCTGTTATTCGGGGCTCTTCACTCGATGCTACCACTGCTGGGTCCCATTCCTGTCGGGCCAAGGACTGACCGCTGCTGTGACTGCTGGCTGCATCGGGCGAGGAGCCCCAAAGAGCAGCCCAGGAGCCACCCGCCAACGGCGGGCTATGCTCAGTCCCTGGCCCGGTGGAAACAGGACCCAGCAGCGGACAGGGCCACTGCATCCCTTTTCCGGTACAGTACTTTTCTGTACTGTAAAATTTAAAAAGTTCCCTGACCCCCTGCTCTAACCATTGGGGCGAAAGAGCTACAAAGAAGCAGCCTCTTCACCACCAATGGTTAGTATATTTGAATTTCCCGCCCCCTTTCCCTGCCTTTTTTCTGTTCATAAGTTAAAGCTCCGTTTGCAAGTCAAAGCAAAATTTTGCAAACGGAACTGTTCATAAGTCAAATTGTTTGTAGGTCAAGGCACCACTATTTACAATTCCTCACAGGTCAGGATAAAAATTAGTGGTCACTGGTGTAACACAAACAGTGTAACTTCTGGTGGCAAATTGCTTCAAGTGAAGAAATCACCAAATACATTATCCAGTGTGTGTTTAGTTGCACAACTCAGTATGTGACAGATAGTGTCTACTATGATTTCATAACTTGAGCCAAAAGTTACAGAATTTGTTTTATGCTGATGAGTAGAGATGGGCATGAACTGGTGATTTGTGCTGGTTCAGATGATGGGCAAAGAGGTGTTCTGCAGTTCAACACCACGTCCCTCCCAGCAGGCAGCAACTCAGGTGCAGCACCTGGAGGAGGGGGGGGCTACTTCCAAGTGGGGACCCACCAGAGGGGATGGGGCACCTGACTGTGGGACACCTGTTTGGCCGTCAGCCAAACTAGCCCAAACTGGCAATTCGTGCCCATCTCTACTCACGGGTGAAACTAATAGGAATGGGTATGAGGATGAATTAACAAATGAAACATTATGTGAGCTTTAGGCCTCAACTCTCCCAGTCTCAATTTTCCATCTATAAAATGAGACTGGCGATAAAAGCATCCTACTTTGGAGATATGTTATGAATATTATTGATATATGTGTAAAACAGGCATACCCAATCTTTTGAGTTCTGTGAACATATTTGGAATTCTGAGGAAATTTTGTCAGTGCTATCACAAAATGGTTGCCATTTGCCCTTAATGAGAAACAGGACACCCATTCGGAGAAGGAAGATTGGTGAGGTTAAGGGACAAGATTGTCACCTAATAACTTGAATGCAAGCCAGAGGAAGGATCCACTCCATTTTGAAGAAGGCAAGCCAAAATGTTCATCAAATGACCACCAAATAAATTCTTCCAAAATTAAAACTTACTTTCCCATGTTAATAGAAAGATCTACTGGTTTAATGGCCAGTGTGGCGTTCGCCCCTTGTGGCCCCTCCCTGAATCCCCAAACACAGAGCACACGAAGGCAAACCAATACTCCTTTTTACCCGCTGCCACCGGTTGATCCCAGCGGTTCGAAAGCATGTAAATGCAAGTAGATAAATAGGGACCACCTCGGTGGGAAGGTAACAGCGTTCCGTGTCTAAGTCGCACTGGCCATGTGATCACGGAAGATTGTCTTTGGACAAAACGCTGGCTCTGTGGCTTAGAAACGGGGATGAGCACCGCCCCCTAGAGTTGAACACGACTGGACAAAAATTGTCAAGGGGAACCTTTACCTTTACCTTACCAGTTGATCACTAAATCAACATTACTTATGGAAAGATGAAGATGCGGATCAAAACTTCACTGTCTTTTAAATAAAACTTGTTTATTGATTACATATGTTTGATTATTAATCATAGGTAACTTCTACAGGTTTATTGATCATCAGTCTCAACCTTCTATTTGTTAAACAGTACTTATTCACTCTTCACTCTAATCACACCTCAGAGCTCCCAAATACCACACTCTCTCTCTCCACTTTCTCACTTCTCTTACTGACTGACTGTTTCACTCTCTGACTCTGCCTCTTTATTACATTTCTCTCGGCTCCGCCTCTTAGCAACATTAGCCTAAAACATGAATATTCATAAATACTTAACATAATAAGAGTGAACACTACAGCCAGCGATTCCTTCTCCTCCTCTGATACTTCCTCCTCATTCTTCTGATTCCCATTCTTCCTCTGAAAACTTGGTGACTTTCTTCTTAATCTCTTACTTTTCTTTGCCCTTTAACCTCCAAGGGTGGGAACGGCACCGGAGTCAGTGTAGCTCTCACCTGATCCCTCTTGTCGCAGCTCTTGTCAGTTAGCAAGCGTACAAAGAAAACCTAGCTCAATAGCATTCCCTATAATGGCCTTGGGTGGCTGAATGCTTATCAGCTCTGAAACAAAACAGGGCCATGTGTTGTTTTCTACATTTTAAGGTACTCTATAAAGTACCATTGAATCTCAATGTATCAGTTGACAAACAAGGAGGGCAGAGAGGCAATGAGCCTGCTTGAGTCATAACAGTTTGCCAAAAATTCTCTGGAGGGAGGGAGTAGAGCTGGAGGAGATACGCTCTCAAACATCTGAACTCGCACCTTACTGTATTACATGGGGATGTTTCAGGAAGAAAAAAATGTATTTCCCCTTTCCCACTCATCAGATCATGTGCAGGGCACACACTCCAGCCCACAGTATAGTTATAAAATGCTCAGGGCAGGGCTCGCAGTCCAGAGTTTGTTCTCTACAACTATAATGAAGTGATTTCGTATCAGGAGAGATTCCTTGCCTATCTAGCCCAGCTGCCCTGTAGTGTCTCAGAGTGAGGTGTTTTGCATTGCCTGCTTTGTTTTAGCACAGCAGGTTAATGGTGGACTGAGAAAGAAAAGAACTGTGCTTTGTCCTCCTTGAACAAGGGCTGAATAAGCCTTTTTTTTCCTTGTCTGACTGGAGCCTTGAACATAAGCACTCTTCTTCTATTAAAGGTCGGAAATATACTGTAACACAGGTTACATTTGTTATCTTTCCTAGTATCTGGTACCTGATATCATGAAAGAAAGTATACTGTTCACCTCAGGACTACTCCAAGCTACTGCTCACTATGTGATTCTGGGTACTTGCATGTGCAAATGTATAGGAACAGTGGCCTCACTTTGAAAAATAATGCAGCCGATACTAAGGTCATTAGGTTTTGATGTTTTGAGTGCATTTTCTCATTGCTTCAAAATACTATATCAGGATTATAGTATTTTGGATGTTGTTATTTTTAAGCAGACTTTAACAAAGTAACAATTAATGCATTACTTACAGGTAAAGAGCAGTAGATTACCTCTTTTTAAAAAATATTGCTAACTTCTACAGTAATGTTCCTGAGCTCTGCTTTCGCTTGCAATAAGCATAAAGTCCTTGCTGCCCTGTGTAGAAACATGCGTATTGTGAAGGAGTCATTACAGTAAATCTACCCTTAAATCTCAAAGAAATACAATGTAAAGGCAACATTTCCTTACTATACAAATGCAGGAATAGGCTATACCTTTATTGGACCATTAAGAAAATAAAGCTAAGAACAAAACGTAGAGCGAGCTTTCAGTGATAATTTACCTTCCTCAGGCTCTGCACCAAGTTCTCATGGGTAGCTCCAAAATAATATGATTTCCTTTCTATGAAATCTTAAGTCTGTCTACCCTCCCTGAGGCTGTCCTATATACTGCATCTCATCGTGTTTTCCATAGAGCACCTTGCATCTGTTGTGGGATTCTGGAGCATATTCTAAAGGTCATATGCAATTTATGTGGGACCCTGGCAATTGTTATTGGGCTTCTGCCACACCCTATATAAAGTGATTGTGCCCTAATACACTTAAGCAGTTTTGCATGGCTGTGTGTTGTAAGGAAGGATCAGTAATAGCGAGCAGTCTTCTGTGGACAGCTAGTCAGACAACTGAGTTTATTGAGGAACTCAAGGAGTTCCAGCAACACAGTGTGAAATCACAGGAATAATTCTATCTATGTTGTTTTATTTGTGTGTTGTGGGCTGGGGGAAATGTGAAATTGTGTTGCAGCCGCTTGTCAGTGTATT